ACTTGATCCCAGGACCCTGGGATCATGACCTGAGCCGAAGGCAGACGCTTAACGACTGAGCCACCCAGGCGCCCTGCCCATCAAACTTTAAGGAAGGAAGTTACATGGCAATACTTTCCAATAATGTCTCTGAGAAAAATGTGTTTGTAGTATATTTCCAACATACTGATTTCCGTCGTACATCTTTGTTGCTTTCCATACCTTTTTAAATAGACACATTTTTGTTAGGGAAATTTGAATATAAACTACCTTATTTGAAATTGTGACTGGGTGTTTACGGAATAATACTGCAGTGGACACAGAGGTCTTCAGGGAAGGACTTGCTGCCCAGGCTGCTCATAATTTAGTGACCAGCTGTCACTCCTATCAGGGTTTCCCCAAACTCTTGCTATGTCCAAGCACACACCCTTCCATCCAACTACTGATAAACTGATAGCATTCTTGGTATATTTCAGGTCCCTGTGGGACAACTCCGATTGAGGTCGTATGCGCTCAAAGACTCCCTATGGCATTTCCTGAGGCTTTGGAGAGTCTACATCACAGTTCTCTCTCCAATCCTGCATCCTCACCTCCAACAGAAAGGTGGTCCCTGGGGCACCTGGGTGGCTCAGTCAGTTAAGCGTCTGCCTTCGGCTCAAGTCACGATCTCAGGGTCCTGGGATGGAGCCCTGTAGGGGGCTCCCTGCTCATCGGAGAGTCTGCTTCTCCCACTGCCCCCCCTCCACTCTCTCCCTCTCTCTCAAATAAATAAAATCCTTTTTTTAAAAAAGTGGTCCCTAATAAATATCCTGAATGTAAGCCCCATCTCACAGAACACAAATGTTTTCATGGAACTGATGGAAGGCATATATTAACAAGTTTATGGAATAAGACATATTTGTGGTTCTTCACCTCTTTTACTAATTAAGCAAGAGCTAGAACATGTATAGATGGATGGATGGATGGATAGATAGATAGATAGATAGATAGATAGATAGATAGATAGATAGGCAAAATAGATATACCAATAGATCTATGTCTATATTTATATTAGTTTTCACTCTGCCGTCATTCTTTTTTTGATGTAGGATGGTCATGGGATTTTCCAGTCATTACTCCTCAAAGTAATAGAATCACGAGGAAAACTAATTATTCACTCATTCATTCATTCAACAAATATTTGGTGAGTGCCTTACTCTCTGCCCAGCCCTTTAGGTGCCTAGTGCTGAATGATGCAAAGTATATGAGACATGGTTTCTGTTCTCTAAGGAATTCCATCTAGCACTGAAGAAAAACATTGCCAAGGGCTGGAACAGAGGAAACACTCACTGATTATAGAGATGGGACAAAGAAGAAAGTGATTATTTTGGCTTATGTGAGGCAAGAGAAGCCACACAGCCAACAGTTTTTCAGGATGTAGAAGTGCCTGTGTGGTAAATAGGTGGCATTCCAGCCATTCCCAGCAGAGGGAACAATACACCCAAAGACTTGAACACATGAGACATACCAGTGCCTTTGGGGAGAGTGAGTCTTTAGTCTGACAACAACACACTCTCTCACTGTTCACACTTTTCCAAGAACGAAACACTCTTGACTCTCCTAATTTCCCACCCAAATTAACTCCTTGTCTTTTGTGTCTTTGTTAGAACAGTACTTCCTCCAGGAGGTCTTCCTTTCCTTGAGACTGGGCCACATGAGTCCCTATATGGTCCCACAATGTCCAGGACTTCCATTTATCACAGCCTTTATTATACTGTGCTTTAACGGCCAACTTACTTATCATTTGCCTCTGACTAGACTTTAACCTCCCTGAAGGCAGAGGTTACTCACTGTTCATCATCAGATCTCAGTATAGTGCCTAAAAGAGAAAAGGTACCATTTGTTGAATGACTAAATGAAAGATGCTAAGTGCAATAGAGTTAGGAAGGTATATTTTATTTATTTAATAAACACTTTTTCAGTGCCCATTATATACTAGACCTCTCTAGGCACTGAAAATAATGAGACTAAATAGAACAAAGAACCTCTCAGAGCTTACATTCTACTGCAAAAAACAAGCAATAGACAAACTGATATAAAGTAATACAAAGCAGGACAGTGAAGGAGAAGGTTTTTATTTCATACAGGGTAGTCAGGGAAGACCTCACTCATGAGGTTATATTTGAGCAAAGTCCCATGTATAAATATTTGACAAATAGGATATACATCAGAAACATTCACAATACTTCTTAAAATTACCCCACTAATGCTGGCTCTATACCGTGGCTAATTTCTCTCAGCTATTGTGAGTAATGTCATGAAGGATTTCGTTAAATTCTCCCTTTTATTGTGGCTATCTCTTTAGGTTCTACCAAAACATCTCAAGGTTCTTTCTTTCACAGTCCATTTTATAAGGGTTCCTGTAGTGGTCAGGAGATCTCTTTGTTTTCTAAGGCATTTTGAAATCATAGACTAAACCAAACAATGTTTTTTGTTTTGTTTTATTTTGTTTGTTTTAAAGATTTTATTTATTTGACAGAGAGAGACACAGCGAGAGAGGGAACACAAGCAGAGGGAGTGGGAGAGGGTGAAGCAGGTTTCCCGCTGAGCAGGGAGTCCGATGCTGGGCTTGATCCCGGGACCCTGGAATCATGACCTGAGCCAAAGGCAGACGCTTAACAACTGAGCCACCCAGGCGCCCCCAGACAATGTTTACTATCAGTTCAAATATTTTGTGGTTTGTTTGTTGACAGGCTTGGGCAAGAGCAACTAATATGGCCACTGAACTGATTTAATTTCTGGGAGAAGCTTAAATTTCCAGGGTAAATTCAAGTCTGTGATAGCCTCGCCTGTTTGGCCATTTTTAGTTTAAGTATAAACAATTACAAAATTATATCAGGGATACACAAGGAAGTCTCTACAAGGTCTGTAAGGGACAAGGAGAGTTCCGTGGTAGGGGGTAAATCATCACGGGGTTTTCTTTTTTCATGGGAAGGAAGGACAGTGGCTATGTTGGTGCTGCAGTGATGTGGAAAGGGCAATACAATTTTGTATAAAAATTAGGTGGTGACTAGCTGAAATGTGATGAGCATTTTCTATCAATAGAAGAGTCTGGAAAAAAAAAAGAAGAGTCTGTAGAGTATGGGAACCACTATGTTGAGTGGAGACCTTAAAAACAAAATCAAATGGGGCGCCTGGGTGGCTCAGTTGGTTAAGCGACTGCCTTCGGCTCAGGTCATGATCCTGGAGTCCCGGAATCGAGTCCCGCATCGGGCTCCCTGCTCGGCGGGGGGTCTGCTTCTCCCTCTGACCTTCCTCCTTCTCATGCTCTCTGTCTCTCATTCTCTCTCTCTCAAATAAATAAATAAAATCTTTAAAAAAAAAAACAAAACAAAATCAAATGAAGTTTTTACACACTTTGCTGTTGCTGTCACATTTTCAGACAAGGTGGCTATGTTTTGGTTACTCAGTGAAATGCTGAAATAAGCAATAGGTCTCTGAAGATTACCAGGTATTTGAATTAATACTATTAGTGTTTGTTCAGACTTTGCATCAACAAAATGGGAAATACGAATTGTGAATCTAGAATACTGGAAAACACATTTCTGTAGATATTATACCCAGTCTTTGTAATAAAAACTTGAAAAGTACACAATCCTAAAAGTACACAATTATACATATTTGTATTTAAGAAAGATACTTTACTGAAGTATAATTTGCCCAAGAAGATAAACTCCCTTTTATTGTCAAGTTTTTCTTTTTCATCCTAAATTTGTCAAAAAAAAAAAAATCTCATACAGGTTTTGAATTAAGTACAATTTGGAGAATTTTAGACAAACCTGTTTATTACTATTTTCCTTTCTTTCATAGCAGGATGGAGCAACTCTTTCTCTTACCTAGTAGTTATTTAGGAACCTGAAAGTAATTTGTCATTAAAGGCATCTTAACAGTTTTATTATTCAGAATTTGAGGCTTGAATTAAGAAAAGGCAACATCAAGAATGATTAAAAGAGACAGATTAATAAATATCTGAAGGCTAACAATTTGCAGCAAAGTTGTAAAAACACAGCAATAAACAATTCCTAGGAATTTACCTTTTTTTAGAAGTAAGGACTCTTTTTTTTTTTAAGATTTCAGTTTCAAGTAGACTCTGTACCCAACATGCAGCTTGAACTTATAACCTTAAGGTCAAGAGTCACATGCTCTACTGACTGAGCCAACCAGGCACCCCAAAAGTGGGGACTCAAAAAACGATTTAAGACTATGTCAGGAAGCACCAAGTGTGAGCAGAATAATTTGATGACCTCTACTGATCTGAACATAAAACAACGTACCCATTTTATAGAAAAAAAATCCAAATTCTAATATTACTCCTTTTGTATACTATTCACATAACAGTCTGCAGTAAAGGACTTATTGATACACCTTTATATGTATTCATTCCCACATTCATATACAAATATATAAATATGCAAATAGGTATTGACTTGAAGCCTTTAACTTAGTTTTAAAATATAATTAACTTAGTAATGAAGTAAGTATATCATAGTAAATTTACCATCTAAATAAACTATAGGGGCGCCTGGGTGGCTCAGTCGTTAAGCGTCTGCCTTCGGCTCAGGTCATGATCCCAGGGTCCTGGGATCGAGCCCCGCATCGGGCTCCCTGCTCGGCGGGAAGCCTGCTTCTCCCTCTCCCACTCCCGCTGCTTGTGTTCCTTCTCTCGCTGTGTCTCTCTGTGTCAAATAAATGAAATCTTTAAAAAAATAAAATAAATAAATAAATAAATAAATAAATAAACTATAACTTCCTTAAAAAACAGAAAAGCATATGCGTTATCATTGTGTCTATTTATATTTTAAAATATTATTGTATCTAGTGTAATTAAATATTTATATTGTCATATTTAACCAAAGTAACCAACTTTTCTTTTCTTCAGACACAAAAGAAAACTAGAGAATTGAAAACCAAATGCTGTTTAGCTATTTTTTTCTCCTTCAGTATTTCATATAATTTTAACAAATTTGTGAAGGCAAAAATAAATTGTGTGTGTCGGTATCATCTGAAAGTATTTGCATATTTTGTTAATCCATTGTCTATTTAAGCAATAAAGGTAACTTAACATTATGTTTAGTGACCATTGTTTTGTATGTGTTTCTTCTTTTATTTTTTTACTTTTTAAAAATATTTTATTTATTTGAGAGAGAGAGAGAGAGCACAAGCAGGGGGAAAGGCAGAGGGAGAAGGACAAGTAGACTCCCCACTGAGCAGGGAACCCAATGAGGGGCTCAATCCCAGGACCCTGAGATCATGACCTGAGCTGAAGTCAGAGGCTTAACCAACTGAGCCACCCAGCCACTCCATCTGTTTCTTCTTTTAGAAACTACCTGTTCATCCAAAGATTATTTATTAATTAAATTAATGATTTGCCGAAGGTTTTAAAGTTAGTTAAAAATCTGGAAATGATAACATAGCTAACACATTAAATCCCTATCATTTGTAGTATTGTAAGAATTTCATAAAATTAAACCTTTTGAACAGATATTCATTATCATTCCTTTTAGTTGAGTGCAATTTTATAATAAAACTTTTCACTTAAAGCGAGTTGTGGAAATGGTGGTAATTAACTTAATTCATAAAATCAGGATAAAAAATTTAAGAAGTTTGAATCACAAGAAATTTAACCCTGGTCTTGAACAAACCAAACTGTTGGGCTGACATTTTTATATAGTAAACTAATTTTTAAAGCCTCTCAAACATGACAAAAATTATTCTTTCATCTTAAAATTAAAGGCCTTTCTTTTTATCTCATAGCTGTTATGCAGGCGAGTGTGTAAACATACTTTTTAGTGTCAACAAGAAGAAACAGAGTTTAATAACTTTTTTCTTTCTTTTAGATACTTTTGACTGCTTATCTGGACTATTTTCTTCGAGTGAGCACATAACCACTGAATGCTTCTTTAAAATTAATTAATCTTTAAAGTCTCCCAAGAGAAGGAAAAGAGAAGAAAAGAAACAGAAAAACCGTGAGGGAACCAGCTTCAGACAAGTATGAAATCGTTCTCGTAAAAAGCTAATTATGTTCCCCTGCAAGGAGGGGAAAGAAAGTTTAGATAGAGAAAAAATAAATTTTAGATATATACACACACAAAAGAGAGTGATGTGTAGTTGGTTTGGACGAAATTTGACTCCTTGACAACTTTATCAAGCCATAAATTAAAACGTGAGGTCTCATTAATGCCTGAAGTACAAAAACAAAGAAGGGGATGTTTCTATGGTTAAACAGAATTTTAGACAATCGAGTCAATCTCCTCAAGAAGGTTCTTTCTTTTTTTGTTCTAAACAAAATGAACAACCTCGCTCATGTCAAAATTTCCCCAAATTGGCCACTGCATTCCAAACTGTCCCTGGTGAAATTGTGCCAGTTAGAAAGTTAAGTGTACAAGTTAGTGTGTAAAGAGAAAACACGAAGGCAACGGGTGTGTCGCTTGGAAGAGGCGCAGTTTTATATTGAGAAAAACCCCTGGGGATGGAACGGTCCATAAGAATAAGGCTTGGCTAGTTTTGTGAATCTGGAGCTGGGCCAAAGGCCAATTGTTGCTAATCCAGAGCTGAACAGAATCTCCCGATTTAGTGCAGAGGAAATTAAACAGTGCAAATCTGTGACTATACTAAAAACCATAGAATTGTACACTTTAAATAGCTGAGTTGTATAGTGTGTGAATTATATCTCAGTAAAGCTGTCATGAAAAAAGTCTCCCAAAAGACTATTATATTTGGAAAATACAAAAGCATTGAAATAGTTTTGTTGTTTTTATACTCGTGAAAAACTGGAAACAACCTAATTGTACATTAACAAGAGAATGGTTAAATACATTAGGGTACAATCCTATGGTGGAATATTAGCTAGTCATTAAAAATGGTTTCAAATAATACTTAACGACAAAGAAAATGTTCACAGTAGAATCTTAAGTGTAAAAGCAAGACAAAATGTGTGAATTCAGGATAATTTTCTAAGGAAATCTCATTAAAGGAAAACAGTGTATAGAAATAAACACTAAATGGAAAGACAACAGCGTAATAGTGTTTATGAATGATGGGTTGTGGGTAATTTCAATTTTCTTCTTTGTTCTCTCTCTTTATATTTTCCAATGAAAATGAATTTATATTGCTTTTATAATCAGGAAACAAAATGTTGTAAAACAAAAATGGCTATGGGGAATTAAAAACATGTTTTTATGTTGATTTGAGCATATAACAGGGTAACATAGCACTAAAGTTCAAAGTACAGGGTCACCATATGAATTTGGTTAAGTGAAGGCACAGACTACTGAAAACAAGGATGCAAGTAATTACTTTTTCATTTCAATTGTTAGTTTGAAACGCTGCTGCCAAGTCATCTCACATTACTCCAAGGAGGCTCAGAGCGAACCCAGCTCTTGAGTTCAACACAACATTGACCCTCTTCTGTCCCTCCATACAGCCCTCTCATTTGTACATTTCTCTAACTTCATCACCCCACTTCTCCTCACTTCCACTCAGGATTTTCCTGCTGCGTATCTGCTATCCTTCAGATAAATGCTTCAGGCAAGCTTACAATAGCTTGTGTGTTCTAGCATTGAACTTGATTCAGTTCAGTGCCAATCAAATACCTCTTGCACGGCACTGCCAGGTTTTCTGAAACAGCCATGCTACATCCCATAGACAATGATAGAAGAAACCTGGGACAGGCACTTTGGATCACGTTGTGGTGGGTCTTGCTCCTCAACACCTCAACGTCAGCTGTTACGATTGCACTGTCAACTGATGCCAAACCTCTTTCCTTCCAGCAGGGCAGGCTGGTTTAACCTACCTCATGGATACCACCTTCATTCATTCATTCATTCATTCATTCATTCATTCATTCATATACAGGCTATTTCCTCCTGGGCTCAAGCAGTTCACCCACCCCCACCCCGCCAATGAAGTAACCAGTTCCTTCTGATGCACCAAATCTTTCCCCAGCTCAAGCCCCACCTCCTCACTAAGTGTTCTCTACTTGCTACCCTCCTGTTCACCTCTGCTGTTTCCACAGGCTTTTGAAGACCCTTTTTCATTTTACAGTTATTACATAGCACATAATAATGTCCTTATAATGTGTCTTCTCTCTAATTGTCAGTGTCAGGGGACATTGTGGTCAGTTTTGCTGTGTGTTTGTTGTTTTTGTTGTTGTTCCTTTATTCTGGCTTAAGCTGTCCCTTTATGCATTATAAAAAGAGAGAGGGAAGATTTTTAGTTACTAGCTGTGATATGGATCTGTACCAGAATGACTGCCTCTGCCTGGTAGGTACTGACCCCAAACAGAATAAATCATCTGTTCACATTTAACACTTTTTTATACTGTCTGGGTCACTGTCTCCCTGTGTGACTCTCATGTGTGGTGTCTTTGTTTTTAACTTCATGGGTCCTGACCAAGCCGTGGCTGACTACCCCTCAATCTGCTTCAACGGTTCGCTTCCTTTCATTTGCCCTAAAATAAGTGATCTGCAAGCTCTGCCCCAGCGTTTGTCTTTTTCCTTTGTACACACTTGTTCTTTCTCTGTGGTCTTACCAATGCCCATAAAACTCTTACTTCCACCAGTCTTGGCCTTGACCTGGCCCCATCTGTGAGCTGCTCCCCATAGCAGGCTGTGATAGTGGGGGCCAAGCTCACCTGGTGGGGTGAGGTGACGTTGAAGAGGGTCCTACCTTCATTGCAGACCCAAAGGATTGAGCAGGCCATTACAACTTGGGCACTGGGGACACACCAGCAGGTCAGCCATATCCCTGGGCCACCTCCACTAGGAGAGCCAGCTTCCTTGGTGCCCAGAGTTTGCTAGATTCCTGGGTTGCAGGTAAACATCTTGGGGTGTCCCAGCCTATACTCCAGACTTTATCCCAGTCAGCTGGGGAGAGCTTGTTCCTGCCAGCCTTATTTCTTTTTCCCAATCTTCTTCCCCTTGTCTCTGATATATTTCCCCAGGTGCTGGGAATTCTAGTGTCTGAATTGGGGTTTCTACTCTCTCTACTCCAGCCACATGCTCCTTCTAGGTGGGGTCAGTGCCTCCTCCTTCTATTGGATTTTATGTGTGATCAGATTAAAGAGCCAGACCTGTCTTCCCAAGTATTTACCCAGCTCCCTTATCCCTGCTCCCTCCAATCTCTCTGTCCTTGCTCCCTGTACACCAAGTGGCTGTGTGGTCAGCAATCATCCTGGAATTCACAAGAATCTCCCCTCTATGCAGATTACCTTGAAATGATACCCAAACCCAGACCTTTCTCCCCAACTCAGCCTGACTCATTTTCTGCTGGCTCTCCTTGCAGGTTGTGCTTGACACATCTAAGCCAAATATCATTCTTCTTCCAGCTAACTAATTCCTCTTCTCCTTGCTTCTCTACTTTGGTTAATCATTTCCCAGTCACACAAAGCCTCCCAGCCCCTCATGTTCCCAACCTTCAAATCAGTTGTTAGAACTTGTAGATTGAATTTCTTGAAAGGAAGCTGAGATGTGATATAGAGTAGTGGTTACTGTGACACCAAAATTCCTAGTTCTGCTACATAATATCTGGGTAACCTGAGGACAGTGATGGAACCTTTCTGTGACTCAGTTGTCCCATCTGTCAGATGGGAAAAACAACTGTCCCTACATCACAAAATTGCCATGACTTCATATACGCTAAAGTACTTGGAAGAATGCCGGGTGCATTGTGTCAGCCTTCTACTATTTTTATCTGTTCCCCCCCGAGAACCTTTGATTCCACCATGGCCTTCATTTCATTCTCGCCCTGAGCACCCTAGTTCATCTCTTCACAGAACTAGTCCCTTAGTTCCTAACTGTTCCTCCCTGTCCTAGCTGTTCTTGCTGCATGCTGGATAGAGCTTCCTAAGGCATGGCTTTGGTCACCCATTGCTTTTCTCCATCACCTCCGCTACCCAGCTGCCACCATCTCTCACCAGGATGATGGAAATAGTTCCCCAGCTGGTCGCCACTGAATCTCCTTGTGTCTTTTCCAACCACCTCCATACTCTTGTCACATCTGATCTCGTCACGTCCCTGTTTAAAACACTTCAGTGGATTCCCAATGCTCCTTGGAATAATGGTAGCCACAGCCTTGCTACTCAAAGTGTGACCCTGAAGCTTGTTAGAAATGCAGAATCTTGGTTCCCATCCCAGACCTAGTGCATCTGAATTTGCATTTTAACAAGATCTCCTCCATTAAAGTTTGAGAAACCCTGTTCTTCGAGGCCCCAGATGGTCTGGTCTTCTTTCTTCAACAGCCTCCTCCTGCTATACTTCTCCCCTTGCTCACTGAGTCTCACTGTGTTCCTGCCTCTCTGGCCTCCATTGGGTCCTTCCAATGGTCTCCCTCCAATGGTCCTCCTCACCATAGGGCCTGGTACCTATGCTTCCAGCAACCTGGGATGCTCTTCCCATTATCCTTTTGCTTTTGCCTGGCTAGTTCCTTCAGGCCTCAGCTCAACTGTCATCTTCTCAAAGAAGGCCTTCCTGACTCCTAAGACCAGGCCAGATCCCCTTATTATTCAGTTGCATAGCATCTTGTGCTTTTCTTTTAGAACACCTAAAGCAATTTGTAATTGTGTCTTTATTTGCGTGAATATTTAATGACTGCGCATCTCTCTCCCTAGACCGCAACTCTATGAAGATAGATACCCATGTTTGTTTTGCTCATCTTTGTATTCCTCAGAATCTAGTACAGTGCCTGGAATATTACAAGTACTTAATAAAATATATCTATTGCCGCCTTTGTTCATTCACATAACAGATATTTATTGTATACCTACTATATGTCATCCTCTAGATGCTGGTTGTATATTAAAAAGGAAAACCACACAGTTTCTGCTCTCATTAAGGTCTAGTGGGGGGAAACAGGCAATCAAATAATCACAAATAAATATAACTTTACAACTGAGGTAAATACTCTGAAGCAAAGGTACAGAATGCCGTGAACGTTCAGGAAGGCTGGTCAGAGATATTTTACAACTGATTCTACTCAATAGAAAAAACATAAAATTCAACATGTATGTTCCTTTTGAGAATAGCTTTATTGAGGCTTAATTCAAATAACATATGATCCACTCATTTAAACTATACCTGTCAATGGTGTCTAGCATATTCATAGAGTTGTACTACCATCACGACAAATTTTAGAATGTTTTCATTTCCCCAAAGAAACCCCTCTCCCCTTAGCCATCCTTCCCATCCTCCCCAGCCCCTCATCACTACTAATCTGTTTCCTAGCTCTATAAATTTGTCAATTCTGGACATTTCATGTAAATAAGATCATATAAAATATGATCTTTTGTGACTCGCTTCTTTCACTTAGCATAAAACTTTCAAAATTTATCCATGCTGTAGCATTTATAAGTACCTCATTTCTTTCTATTGCTAAATAATATTCCCTTGTACCATGTATTTTTCTTAGCACAGCCAGAAACAGGATGCCATTCCACTGTATTTGCCATAGCCAAACAAATTAAGTTTGTCATGTTTCTAGAAAAAGGTGACAGTAAGTAAATGTTGGCTGAGATTTACAAGGGTGGCAGCCGTGTTTAGAAAGCTTCTTTTCATGAGTGACTTTATTCACTCAGCTCTCTTAGTCTGTTTAGTATTCTGACTCACAAACGGAAATGATTCTATTTTGGCATTCTTTCTCTTTCTCCTGCACTTAGTTCTTTGGTCTCTACTGACTTGCTGTGTTAAATTATGCAAGTTACTTAAACTCTGTTTATTTAACTCCTGCGTGCTCTGTAAAATAAGCCCAGTCCAGCCTACTTGTTTGCCAAAGCTGTTTGGAGACAATTTTTCATATGATATGCATCATCAGCTCCCACAGAAGGCAAAAGGAATTTGATGTGTGGGGGTAGTCTGGGATCCAGTCCAAAACTAGTGCTCATCTGGAAGAAATATGGAAGCCTGATACTTGCTCACTGGCCTTTTAGTTGTACTCACTTATTGCC